GATAGACCCTCTCAGCCCTATAGTGTGCCTTTAAATATCGAGTATCGATCATCCACTCATCGTATGTAATAATGTATTGACAAGGTTGTGTGTATAGTATTGACTATTGTATCTAAGCATATACCTGCGCTGAATGTATTTCTTCTTTAAAAAGAAAACTCTCTTGTGACTCAGGATGGTCGTCATTATTGCAAGTGCAATGTTCACGAATGTCTAGTTTTTGCAATCTGACACGATTGCCTGGTCCATTTCGTCTCTGATTGGAAGCCATTGCGAGCTGAGATTGCGAGCACCTACTGTTCAGTGTTGACTATTATCATTTTTATAGGCTATTATCATATCATTCTGGTTTTTAGCAAAAAACACACATCGCAACGCCATTCTCGTTGTACCTCTCGTTGTCCTCTGTCCGGGTGTCCCCATCTAACGGCTATTATCATAAACACTGCACATTTTTGTTTGGCGGTTTGCATGAAATAATCACAAGGGTAGGCCCTACATAAAAAAATAAACTCTCTGGGGGTTATATTCAATAATATTGAAGCAACAGCCAACAGTGCTAATGAGTAATGGAGTAATGCTATGAATCATGATGTAATATTAGTGTAATACGTAATAATTTAAATAGGGGCAAAAAGCAAAAATGGCTGATATTTTTTCAACAATCTAGAAAAATATATAGGAAATCTACATTATAGAAAAATAATCTTGTCTACGCATAGATCATAGATGATAGATATCTATGCTAGAATTATTTACATAGTTTTATTTGGCGCCTTCTATTTTGGTCTTTCTTTTTTTGACGAATGAAGGAGAGGGACGGATTAGACTGACCGGTTAGTTTATTAAATATAGGTTTTTCTAATAAGAGCAGATATGGAGAACCTGTCTAGCAGCTGATGCGCTCACTGCGACCTATGCTGAGGCTTATGCTAGATTGGTACCGCGCCAATGACGCATCACCCCTGCAAATGCGCTCGTTTATCCTGAGCAAAACTGGACAAACTGTAGGGACCCGTCTAACATGTAAACGTGTGCGACCATAGCGCCCCTGTGCGATCTAAATTTAACTAGGGAAGTTCGCGCGAAAAGTAATTCATAGTGTTTTCATTTCCGGTTCGTTTGTACGTTTACCGTCGCCGTCGCCGTCTAGAAGAGGTAAATTAATATTGTATTGCTATACTAATGGCACATGCTAGTTTCTACTATTTCATGTACAATAGAATGTTAACAATATGTATATAATATATATTGAGCGATTGGGCTCAGCCTCAGTTCGACAGTTGATACCACAGGCACTTGAAGCATATCAACAGTAAACATACGCCGCCGCCATCGCGCGTACACTGACACATATATATTAAGCAGGTGCGAAAGCGTGCGCCAGGAATTCGCTCGACGCTCGCTTGTCTACACAC